AATAGACAAATCTTAAAAAAGTCTGTTTTGAGAAACCTGTTCCATAATTTCGTCTTGGCCCTGCATGCTCTTCTGGAATGCCCACCGTCGGTTGCTACAGTGCAGCTCTGTGCCCAGTGGGCCGGGCCGCTTGTTAGCTATGAGATTAGGGAACCAAAGGCTCTTCGGGCAGGTGAGGCTTTGACACATCAGCTGCTTATCACCTCTTCAGCCCCACCTCAGCAGAGCTGGGCTTGCAATGCACGCCTGCTGCCCTAGCTGGGCAAGTTTCACTGTAGCCTATGACGTCACTGCCGGCACCTCAATGACCATGGGCAGCGTTGGATTCTAACCTGCCCAAAGCATTTTTGTATCTGGATTCCTAAGACTTGAGCATGTGGTGCTTAGCCATTGGAAGAGAACATGTCACATCTCCAGATACAAACTTCCGAGTCATTTGCAACTGGAGAGGAAAAAGTTTAAAATTACTTTGACCTTCTTGAAGCTGCAGGATGCGTCCAAGGCTGTTTTATATTTAGGATGGCGTGAATTATACACGGAGAACCATGGTTGGTGAGGAGCTTCCAAATACTGGAAATTCTATTTCCCTACCTTTTGATCATCAGTTCAAGGGCTTCACCACAAGTGACATCATGTCTCAGAAGCAAAAATAGGCCACTGTGAAGACGATGTAATGTTTTTGTCCAGCAGATCCTGTTTCCTCCGAATGCCCTCGTCTCACCTTCCTAACCGGCTCTCCCACCCCTGGAGGGCCTGAGCTACATGACACAGGGTGATGATGCGGGGCTAGGAGCTGGCCACGCTGATGGTGGCTGCCTGCCTTAGGGACCCAAAGGACCCAGGGCTGTGGAAAATGGGCTGGTGAGCACTCAGGACCTCAGGGAGCACGGCACAATGTCTCCGCACAGAACTGGCCATTTGGAGTTTAGGCACAGCTGAGCAGGGGAATAATTCATATCCTCTGTGAACTCAACAGGGGTGGGATAGAAGTCCTTACCTAATGGATAATACTGTTCCAGTGTCCTGTTTTGTGTACATGATCTCATTTAACATTGAAAAGAACTCTCTGGAAGTTTCCCATTCAACATACGAGGGGAGTGAGTTGAGAGGGTAAGGACAGAGATGGGGTTGCACTTGATCTTAGCCAAAAAGCCGAGAAGCGATAGAGATGGGATTGAAGTTCATGGGCCAAGTCCTGGTTCCTGCTGCCCTTCTGTGGGTTCCCACTTGGACAAGACTTTGCCCTTGGTGCCATGATGGAGGAGGACTATGGTGCCAGAGACAGTCAACCTAGAATTATCACTGCCAGTTTCAAATGAGAATGACTATGAGACTGAAATTGTTACCCCCTTCAATGTTAAGAGAGGCATTCTCTTCAGCTTCTGCTACATAGGGTAAAAACAATAACATGTATTTTACTTGTATGTCTAAAGACATAAATCATGGATTTCAGACATTTTTTTGTGAGTAAAAAGTATTTCCCTACAACAGCTGAAGGGGAACATTAGTTAAAAAAATAACATTTAGGCTGGCGCCGCGGCTCACTAGGCTAATCCTCTGCCTTGCGGCGCCGGCACACCGGGTTCTAGTCCCAGTTGGGGCGCCGGATTCTGTCCCGGTTGCCCCTCTTCCAGGCCAGCTCTCTGCTGTGGCCAGGGAGTTCAGTGGAGGATGGCCCAAGTGCTTGGGCCCTGCACCCCATGGGAGACCAGGAGAAGTACCTGGCTCCTGCCATTGGATCAGCGCGGTGCGCCGGCCGCGGCGGCCATTGGAGGGTGAACCAACAGCAAAAGGAAGACCTTTCTCTCTGTCTCTCTCTCTCACTGTCCACTCTGCCTGTCAAAAAAAAAATTACCATTTAGGTTTGGAAATTACTGTATTCACTTTAAAATTGGGGAAAACGAAAATATAGAAAGAAGCTTTTAGATACACTGTCCCTTTAACAGTTGGACTTAATCCTTTGCATTTAACTCTTGTTTACCAAACACCTGTTCAGAAACCTGAACAGAGCCAATCTCTTGTTTTTGGAGAAAATGTCTGAATGGAAGTCAACAGAGCTGGTTCCAGTCCTTTAGTTCTCATAAGCAGCCATTTCAATGCCGCCAGCAATGGACCAGGACTATACCAGAATGGAAGCTGCCATCCCAAAACAAGGTAATTTCCAAAATTCTGCTATTTCTGAAATCCTAAAAGGCAATGACTTAGGCGGCAATGTCAAAAATAATACAATGATTACTCCCAACAAAGCTTCTTTCAGCCAGGGGTCCACTGGATCAACATGGCGTACAGGAACTGAGGGATGGTACAATAGATCTAGGCCTCTTCCATGGTCTGGAAACTCAGAGCATCCCCAGTGAATGGAAATCACGGGCAGCCTTGTCACAGTGCGAGAAGTCTCCAGACTTACCTAGTGTTTTCTATACCTGAGGACTTTCCTACTGGGGTAGCTCATCTTCAAAGATGGCTCCCCAGGGGCTGGCATTCACAGCCTGCTGTAGGCCATCCGACACGCAATCTGGACTGGACCTGGGAGCTGCTTTCCCAAATGAAGGCAGCAGCAGGAGACACTCCCCCAGGCCGGGGGCTGTGCTCTAAGCCTCTGCTCATGCCTTTGGGAACCACACACAGCCACGGCTCATTGTCCCACATTAAATAAATCAGAATAACGGGCCCAGGCGGCCGCTCCAATGCCATCCTTTGTCCTTACTAGAATGTAAGTCAGGGAAAGACACAGAGACCTATTGTGGGCTACAGATGCCTTGACTAAAAGAAGCGTTTGTATCCTCAATATCTGGAAGCGTCCCTTTGTTGGGTGTCCTGGAGGGAGATGCCTGACGGCTGAGAGGTAGGCCTTTCTTCTGTAAAGCGGGGCGTTCCTGGAAATGGGAGGTGGGGGCCTCTCCAGAGTCTTCAGGGAGGTCACTCTTAGACCAAAGCTCACGCGGCAGTGGACTCCCCCCGGAGAGTGTGTGAGCATCAGGGCTGTGTGCACCTGTTTGTGGACAGCAGCCTCCGGCCTTCCCTGTCTCCTGACACTCCTGCTTCCTCTTCCTAGCACTCCGAACCAGGAAGTGCTGCTTTCTCTGCTTCCAGGTAACTGTTTCCCCCCCTCCCCCATCAGCTGGTCCTGGCACAGTGCCGACTGGTGACACAACTGAACACAGCCCCTTTCAAGGGAGTTCTTGCATCAGAAATGAAACAAAGGGATGAAGACTCAACAACTGGCATTTAGGGGAGGGCTCGCAGCTCTGTTTGCTCAGTGGCACCAGGATACTGCTACAGGCACAGAGTGGCTGAGAGCTCTCTCTTGCTTCAGGTAAGGAGTGAGAACTTAACCACTGAGGCAGAATGCGTGCCAAGGGGGAGGCGACACCTTTCCAAGGGAAAGCTCAGGCTGAGCTCTGCAGGAGGCGGCAGACTCGCTGGCAGGAGACACGCTCCAGTTTCTTCTTTCGTGAACTGAGCATCGAGCCAGGACTGCCCTGAGCAGGAAAGGACCAGGTCTCGCTTCTGGGGTCAGCCGATCCTCTTCCCACATTCTGTGTCCGGTTCTCTGCACTCTGTACTGCTGGGACTTCACATCTCGCAACCCTCCAAGAGTTAAGAACACGGCTACCCAAATCCTGAGAGATACACATTTATTGATTGCTATCATATTGGCATGTTTTGATGCAGTTATACCTGCTCATACAGCTGACTTTTTCTTAAGAGCCAAAAGAGGATTTTTTTTCCTTTAAAAATACATATTTTCAGCAGGAAGACACATTTTGTAAACAAACACTTTCATATTAAGTTGGAATTAAAACCAATGGCTTTCCTCCACCAACTCAAGGGGATGAGGGCCGGTCAGCAGGTCTCTAAGTGCTCACAACTGGCTTGAATTTAGGGCCTCTGCCCCAGCAGTCTGCCCTTTGTCTTCTCAGAAAGTAGGGCCAAAAAAAAAATGTACATTGAGAGACTGCAGTCTAAGTCTAGAGAGAAAAGCAGAGGTAGAAGGGGAACTTAACTACTAACTTTTTGTAAGACCATTCAAGAAGTTTTAATACATTTCAATTTTTTCACTGGGACAAAACATATTCTACAAATACCTAAACCACTGATGCTTTTGATGCATACAATCTTAGAAATGTCTACACTGAGTTTACTTAGCTTTGAGAAACATAAAGCAGAAAACCAACTTTAAGAACATACGAACTTTCCATATATTTTAGAAGTTTATCTTTGTTAAGTTCTTCAAAGTCAAAAGCTCTCACTCTGTCATGCTGATGTTCCCACAGCTGGTGCCCACACCAGGGTCAGAGAGAAGAATGACCTGAGGCCAGTGAGTAACCAACAATGAGGAGTTCACTCAACACTCACAGTTTAAACAAAACAAAGCAGGCTGAGGTGGACGTGTGCTGGAGACACTGGTTTCCAAGAGCCAACTGTTAACTTTTAGAATTTTGCCAGCAGTTGTTAAACACCCATCATTAAAACTGGGTTACATACACTTACAATTAGTGCTGAAGCTAAAGGCAGTTTTAATGAATATAATTCATGCAAGGGTAAGAAGCAGTTTAACAACAGACCATACATCAGTCTGAATGACAATAAACTGATGGAGAAATGAGTAAGTGGATTAGGAGAGAACACCATTTTTCAAATCATGGTTGAAATGTAATCACAGGCTGGCTATAAGGGGTCAGCAAAAAGCTGACAATCAATTGGCTTCATGGAACTTATACTACAGTATTTATAGTGTCATTATTTAATTGTGTCATACATCCTTGCTATGTAACTCACAGGTACCTGTGTACATAGTTTTTTCCGCAGGAGAATGGGCTGTGAGCCGCTCCCCGCACGCCCTGGGCGGGAGAACTGGAGCTTTCCCACTGGATTCTTCAGTTTGCCCGCAGCATTCACTGCCCCAGCTCTGAGGCACTCCTGCAGGCGCCAACACCCAAACAGCTCAGGTAGCAGGCAAACCCCCACTGCCACTACTCAGAATTAAAAGCACTTCATTTGAAAAAAATCAACTTTATTTCTCTAGGTTTTAAAAAAAAATAGAACCAGCTATTAATTTTTATTGAGAAAATGTTTCTTTTGGTGTTCACAACTAAATATCTGAAAAGGTGATCCGGTTACTAAGATCACCCCGATGCATTCATAAACCAGATCCACATGTGACCAGCCCTTTACAAAAATCAGTTACAGTTGCCACAGCCTTTACATTCATCCTTACCACACATTACAACATGCAGATCCTCAGAGAAAGAAAAGTCAACAAGCTGAAGAAGTAAACATTACAGCATCAGGAAACGAAAATCCATCTGTATCAAATAAATACAACTTTGTAATAACTGTAAAGAAAATGAAAGCACTTAATAAAAATAATGGCAGCTGAATGGATAACTGTCTCATTACCCGGTCATAACCTAAGCTGCTGTAAAATGCATAGACTCCTCACATGGAAAGGATTTGTGCATCACAGTCATGTGTTCAACAGTTTTACACAAGAAAAATAAAGCCATTCAAAATGTGGGCGTACTTTGCAACTAGGATACACTTAAAAAATGTTTGCTCTTTAAACTGTTTTAAAAAAATATTAAATGTAAAAATCCTCAGATGGAAATTGTGCAGAAAAGCCCCCATTTTGTCTTCCATATGGCTACAGTCACCCTCCCCCAACAGGTCAGCACCCTCAGCTTGGGCCCAGGGTCCAGTTCCTAACTGCTGGGGATTGGTGCGAAAGGATTACAAGAAAGCACCAGCCAATGACTGCTCCAGAGTACACCGGCCCCTCTGTGATCCAGAACCTTCCAACTTAGGTGATTTTGGTCCCAAACATATTTGTCTCCACCCCTGCTGAACTGAGCCAGTACTCCTGCTGCCTGTGCTGCTCCTGGCTTTGCCTTCTCTGTTAACAGATGTAAGGCTCACAGCACTGCAGGGCAAAAACAAAACAAAACAAAACAACACAAAACAAGAGAGTGAGAACAAACCATTTTTATCCATCCTTGTGGACCAGAGCTGAGCACACTGGCAATGGTAACCCTGGAGAGAAGTCTTGTGTAATGACTTCAGAAAAAGAACGGAAGAAAACAATGAACGCTTCCTATTCAGTAGTGCAAACAAAACATTTTCTTTTTAAATATAAAAAGAATCCAAGAAGACTACCCATGATTAAAGACTACTTTCTATGTTTATAAGCAGGTCCAACCAGTTCAGGAGAGTCTTTTGGGAGGTGATTGTCAGAAAACATTACTCAGACGAATCCACAAGAAGTGAGCGACGGGGAGCAGAGGAGGAAGCTTTCTCCACAACACTGGCCGCGGGACAAGCGCAACACCCCAGGGTGCTCGGCGATCAAGGGCTCCACTCAACAGAGGCTGGAAAGCAGCTTTTACTCCACCAGCTCTGGGCCAGTGCAGGGATGGCTTTGCTAGCCTACAGGGTTCTCGGGTGCTTGCCTCCTCTTCTGACAGTGGCCTATCCGACATGCGCGTCATTTCCCTGCTTGTTAACAGCCACAGATCCATAGGCAGAAGGAATTAATAAACAACTCAGTGTATTTTTAATTAGTAAAGAAAGTTTGATGAAAATAAAAATTCAAACTCCTAATAAAATGAAGAGTTTTGGTTCAGCTTGGCTTATTACTGGATTCATTATCTATTCATTAATTATCCAGTAATCCCTCATTCCTTTACCATGGAAAATTAAAGATTTAATAATATTACAGATCCAAACTTACAACTATATTTTTAAAAATCTACTATTTAGATTCGCTACTAATTTGCCCACCCAAAACATCATTTCCACTCTTATTTTAATTTACCTTTCATTGCTTGTAGGTTGTTCTACAATATATGTATATTTCAACAGCAATAATTATTCCTGAAGTTCAGAGTGAACTGCTAGCCTGGTGACTTCTGAAGTCGCTGGACCTGCCCATGGCCAACCACAGGCTCCATCTCTGCGACTGACTGACGCCAGGGTTCCAGCAATGGATTCTTCAACCCTGTGTTCTGTGGGAATCCAGGCAGCACAACCAAGACCAGGAGGTGCTACAAGTCTCCAAGATACCGGTAGAAAACGGGCCCAGTTTTACCTTCTTTCTCCTTGACAACACATGCATCACTTACACCTCCTGTCGTCTCACTTCACAGAGAAAGCACAGATAGGAGTAACTGCCCAGTTCTGCACAGTGGCAGTGTGGTGGCTCCCCAGGCTATTTCAGAACACCGATTCTCTCTTCACACTCCCTAGTGGAAGCAGGTGAACTCCAGGTACCGATACAGAAAGCGCCAGCAATGTGCTCAAACATACTTTGCAAACAGAAGAGAGAGAACATGTTGATAAAGGATCAAAGAGGGGTAGGGCAGATGAAATACACAGCTATTTACACTCACAATCTCTCTCAAAGATTAACTCACACACCCACCGGTACTCGTCACTCTAGAGACTGCGGGAGGGCGCCCTGCTGGAGAAGGAAAGCGTCCTGCTGGAAGGTTCCTTCCACGTGTGCAGTGCACCTAACGGTATCCCGCTGCTCTGGAGCAGAGCGACGGCAAAGGTGGCCCCGGGCCGCGACTGCACGTGCATGAATGCAGTGGTTTTGGCCAGGAGAACTGGCACTCGACCCTGCGGCTCGCTTTAGCAGCAAGGACTCAGCCTATCTTCCCGCATCTTGGCATGTGCATGTTATACTTCACGGTGGGCAATTTCTTCCCCAGGCGGCTGACTGATCTCTCAAACGATTCCAATTCATCTTGTAATTCAGCGGTGTTTGCTAGGCCTTAGACAGAAGCATCGTTAAGCTCCTGTCTGGCTTCTTATCATCATCTACACCTCTAAACGGAGATGAGTTTCACTTATTCACCGTCACCAGAGAACACATAACAAAATGCTTACATGTTGAACAGCGTGCATTTTATAACCACCGTTATACCCAGCCAGACACACGACACTGTCCCCTGCACTGTGCCAGCGCTGGCACAGTATTCAGTGAGGTATTTCAGTTAGCACATCAGCTCTCTATAGAAGCACTGAGTTCCCCAAAAGAGGAAGCTGCTGTGGGCTTTTATTTGGTGTTGCTTTACCTTTCCCACAAAACTGGGGAAAAATTCACATCTTTTCCATTTTTTTTGGTGTATTCAAAAATAGGAAACATTAGCTTTTAGTTTTGATTTATAGCCTACTTCTCAGAATTGTTATCCGTGTAGTTAGTGACAACCGGGGAACCTAGGATACTCCCATCACAGAAAGCTACGGCTGGCTCACTGGGGTCTCAGCAGGCTCTGAGCCCGAGCCCGGAAATGTCACCTCCACCCTGCTGCAGCGCCAGCACTGGTAGAGAAGTGTGGTTCTCCTGGGAGGTACATCACAGGAACACAGAAACAAACAACAAAAACGGTTTTTCTAGAACAAGAATTGTGACTTTGCCCTCTTCCAAAGCAAAGGGAAGCCTTCCCTGCTGGTCTCTCTCCTGGCTGCACCCACCCTGAGAGGCAGCTCCTTGATGTGGCAACAGGACACACACTGCTCCAGTTCTGGGGGAGCTGTGTGCACACTTGTCACCATGAATAAGCCAGTGTCTGGCTTTGGCTCTTATTTTTCTAAGAAACAAGTCTATTTCCTCCTAAACCGATCATTGAAATTGGACATTAATTTGTTTCCATTGTCCCCAAATGTATTTGGTGCTAACATGTCAAGATGGAAAGAAAAAAAAGCCCTCCGTCAGGTCAGGTGGCATCAGGCCGTGTGGCATCAGGTTGGGTAGCATCAGGCCAGGTGGCATCAGGCCGGGTAGCTGAGGCAGGCAGGAGGTCCTGCAGAGCAGCTCCAGCCAACACCAAGTGGGACGGGAGACTCGCACTCCCCTGTCCAGGCCACACTCCGCATCTTCTGCTATATCTGCATCCGATAACAGTGCATTTTATAAAATACAATGATCAATCTGTGATACGCCTTCTATACAAAAAGAGAAGTCGGGTGAGCCCCTCCCCGCAGGGGGAAGGACCAGTGCCTGTAAACAAGGTCTGGTTTAAGAGCACAGTCTAGTACCAGCAGGTGTTCAGCCCACAGAGAATCCCGCAACACTGCGCCTCGTTAGCGGCCGTGGATGGACTCAGTCCTGTGGAGGGTGCCACCGGCGGCAACACAGCACAAGTGGCAGCGACGGGGATGCCCGGGACACTGCCCTACCACGGACTCCTGGCTACCGGGGATGAATACAACTTTGCGAGCTTGAACTAAGTTATCACGTCTGTCTGGAGCAACAGTATTTCTCTCAGATAGTCTTCTAGGATGATTTTATGATTTCCTTTTCTTCAAATGTGATGTTTGCTTAAATACGTGGTAGAGCGTATCTTTTTAAAACATGAAAAGTTCTTAAAATATATTAGCAGGTCATTATATTACCGATCCTCATTTTAGTAGAGTTTTAAAATATCCCAAAGGGGGATAAATATTAATCCATCCATTGAATTTCCTCTGCTTTATATATATATATGTGTATATATATATATATGTATTCTGATTTGCATGTGTAAAATAATGCACACTTATGAAAGTCTGAATTCCTATGTGACCTTGACAAGTCCAAGTCAATTCTTAAAATAGGCAGTGGTAAAAATACTGAATGATGTTGTACCACATATAGCCTGACAAAAACGCAAAAGACTGTATGAGAAAGATCCACGTGTTGCTGAGGGTCATCTCCCTGGAAACAGCTTCCTTCTGGCCCTTGGGAGGTGGAAAAGCTCCTGAAAGACAAGAGAGAGACACCGATTTGCTTTACCGCAGCGGCAGGGGTATAACTAGGTTGCAGTTTTTAAAAAGCACCATGTGACCTTCCATTGCTCTTGAAGACGGATCTTACTCGAACTGCAAATTCCAAACTGCCTGCCCCTGCACCACTGCTTTACGCTCTCGACTGGAAGGCGGCCCCTCCATCTCAGCAAACATCAGCATCCTCCCATACCAGGGAAATGCCCACTCCCCTGGCCCTAGTCACTCTCCCCCACAGCCAGGTTTGTGTCCTTCCTGGCTCTTCCCCACTATGGAATGGTCTAGATCCACCACCTATCTTCCTTTCCTCCCCCTCCATCTCCCCATCCCTCCCCCCCTTCCTTCCTTCTTCTCTCTCTTTTTTAAAGATTTATTTATTTATTTGAAAGGCAGAGTTACAAAGAGGCAGAGAGGGCAGAGAAAAAGAGGTCTTCCATCCACTGGTCCACTCCCCACATGGCTGCAACAGCTGGGGCTGGGCTGATCTGAAGCCAGAAGCCTGGCTTCCGGGTCTCCCACATGGGTGCACAGGCCCAAGGACTTGGGCCATCTTCTGCTGCTTTCTCAGGCACATTAGCAGGGAGCTGGATTGGAAGAGGAGCAGCCAGGACTCAAACCAGTGCCCATATGGGGTGCCGGCACTGCAGGCGACAGCACCCCCCCCCCATCTTTCTACAGACTTGTTTACTACCTGTCTCCCACAGGAGTGGAACCTGCATGAGGGCAGGTGCTTTGCCTTATTTCCCCAACAGATCCTTAGAGGTTTCCACCATCCTGGCCAGGTGAAACCGACATTGCATAATTTTTGAAACAGAGTGCAATTTATATCCTCTATTTGTAAATGAAATCAGGTTTTTTCTTTTGCCACAAAAAGTGGTCTTTTAACACTGACATTTTCGAAATGCCATATAATTTATGAAATATCTCTTAAAAAGGAGAAAAACAAAATAAACAGATGTCTTTAAGTTCTTTTCTGGGAAGGAAAGCGACATCATCACTCCAGAGCGACAGTACCTAAGGTCATGGCCATTACACTCTGCAGCACTTCAAACAGTCTTTGTCCTTGCGATAATCCCCCAGGGTAAGCTGATTCATGAGGGGATTTGCTTCTCACAAGCAATTTACTGAGTGCACTTCCAAGTTTCAAAGTCTAACATGCAAAGAGCTTTCTTAAAAAGAGGTCTCCATTATTATTGGTATAATTTAGGCCAAGTGTGGTAAGGCAAGGGACCAAGGTTGTGAAAGGAGGGACACACAGTGGGCACCTTGTCACCTCCTGCCTTTCAAGCTCTGTTAATCTAAAACCTCCCGCCCGCTGCTCACTCAGGAGGTGGCAGGCACTAGAAAACAGGTGCAGCGCACAGCACTCTGGGAAGCAGTCTGCTAGTGACTGACCTTCTACCACGGCCCTTTCGCTGCGTTTTAGTCTTCCCACAACATGGAGAGTAATAATAGAAGGGAAATAGTCTTTATTCCTCCCAAGGAGAAAAGTCCAAGACTATATTCATGAAAACTTAAAAAGTGAGCCTATTCCTACTTGTAAAGAAAAGATAAACATATAACAATGTACTTAAAACGATCTCAAATGACCACCCTATGATGGTATTCAAATAATCAAGTGCAATGCCAATGTAGCTTCACCCCACATAATCTCACACACAACACATGTCGCCTGTGCAGTCCCCTGAATTAGATACTTGCTGCAACAGGTTCATGAACACTTAACTTGTCATCACAAAAATTTAAAGCTGAAATTCTTAAATATAGAAATATTTTTATTCCTTTATCAGAAACATCAAAAGACAGTTATCTCCCCCAAAGTCTACCTTTGGAGTCAGCAGTACCTTCAGAAAAGTTCAGAGAATGCTGGGTACCTGTTTCATAAAAATGTGACAAGAGGTCCTCTTTCTCAATGAACCGCTGGTAGAGCCAATTGGAAAGGTCATCGTCAGTCTCCAAGGGCACATCTTTGATGGGGAAGATCCTAAGAAGAAAAGGGCAAATTCAAAAGTCAAAACCACGAGAAGGATCGCTTAGCTCGGGTAATGGCCAGCTGAATAAAAATGAGAAGCCACCTTTTGCTTTTGTAAAGGTTTTTCTCTTCAGCTTCTCAGGGCATCTTGGTTTTTGTAAACCGTTGTTGTGAACTGCACAATGGAGACCAGGTATGCCTCCTTCAAACATTTACTGGCCCATCATGTGTTGGGTCCAGTGACAGATGCTGAAGACATACTTTTAAATTATACCGCATCTATAAATAATTACTGAGAAAACTATGACTTTCTGTACTTGTGGATTAAGTAGGAATAGTATATAGAATATATGAAGTTTTAAAATGCAGCTAAATCCAAAGATGCAGTCATATGTTTAAATGTTAGGCCAAATAATGTATCTCAGCAATCAATGCTTTTTTTCGTAGGTCTAAGAACCAAACAGAATCTGCCCAAATTGGTGGATTTTCACTAATTACGTCAGAGGTACTGGTTACATGGGTAGAGACAACGTTTACTGACAGAATGCCACTGGAACCCTACTGTGAAGAGGCTGAGACCATGTCTGACTCAACAGGACACGGGTGGTGATGTTCAGTGACACCCACGGATGTCAGAGGAGAAAGGGGTAGCATGAGGACCCCCCGTATTTGCTGACTTTGAAAAGAGTTTCTTTCCTTTTCTGTTTTCCAACTTTGTGTATGTGGGAGGGATTTCTCTTATTTCCTTTTCTCTGTATTAAGGTACACAGTTTTTCTAAGATTTCTTTATGTATTTCAAAGTCAGGGAGGGGGTGAGGGGGAGGGAGGTGGAGAGTTTAAGGGACAGGGAAAGGTTTTCCCCAGGCCATTAGCAGGGAGCTGGACCAAGACCCATATGGAATGCCTGTGTGGCAGGTGGTGGCTTTAACCACTATGCCACATCATCCCCCAAGGCACACAGTTTTACAACTGCAAAAGGTTTGTTTGTATTAAGAATCACAGCCCTGTCTGTCCCTCCAGAGCACTGATTTTCGCCTCTCTAGCCAGTTACCTTGGTATTTCTCAGCAGAATTCTCACTCAAGTTTAGGCCTTATCTACCAACTCCCCACTGTGGAAGATGGGGATTAAGCTCTCTCATCTTCCTTTTCCCTCTAACATTCACATCCTCCCACTTTTCCAAAGGTGATGTACAATAATGTGAACTAGCTCAGTACTAGACGTCCCATTATTATGTAAATAGATTCACCTTTTCTTTCTTGCCCTATTTTTATTTGCCCTGGCTTGGGCAATTATATTATTTTTCATTTGCTTAATTTTCTATTTACATATAACTAATTCAACCACCAGCTTTCAGTCAAGGTCTGAAGTCTATTCTCTGAAGAGGGTCAGCAAAAAAAATTTTTAAGGACCAGAGAGAAAATAGTCTAGGCACAGGCAGATATTTGGCACTGCTTAGGACGCCTGTATCCCACACTGAAATGCCTAAGTTTGAGTCCTGGCTCTCTTCTCATTTTCGCTAGTGTGCACCCAGGGAGGCAGCAGATGATGGCCTAAGTAGCTGAGTCCCTGCCATCCATCTGAGAGACTCAGATTAAGTTCTAAGGTTCTGGCTTTAGCCTGGCCCAGCCCTGACTGTTGTGGGCATTTGGGAGTGATGGATGGAGATCTCTATCTCACTGCCTTTCAAATAAATAAAAATTTTTAAAAACCCAGACAAAATTTTAGGTCTTACAGGCTATATAGTCTCAGCCACAGACAGTGTATAAGTGAATGTACACAGCTGTGATTGAATAAAATTTTATTTAAAAAACAGGCAGCAGCAGAGTGACCTGTGGTCTGGATCTCCCAGCGTACTCTCCTCCATCACACATCCTTTCAATTTCACCTTCCTGAAGAAATCTCACCTAGACTACGGACTTGCTGCCTGTAGTTTCCATTCTTTTTTTAAGAAAAGATTTATTTGAAAGGCAGAGTTAGAGAGAGAGAGAGAGAGAGATCGATTTCCATCTGCTGAGTCACTCCCCAATGGCTGGGAGAAGCCAGGAGCCGGGAGATTCTTCTGGGTCTCCCACGTGGGTGCAGGGACCCAAGGACTTGGGCCATCCTCTGCTGCTTTCCCAGGTGCATCAGCAGCGAGCTGGATCAGAAGTGGAGCAGCTGGGACTCAACCTGGTGCTCATACGGGATGCTGGTCCCCTGAAGCTTCCATTTTGCAGAGTCCCTTCGCTGTTGTCTTGGTGACGTCCCACACTCCTGAAATGGATGAAGAGCTTCCTGCACCTCACGCCTTCCTCCTTCTCTAAGACAGATTGTGATAGGGGACATCCTCCAGCTGTTTCTTAAGAGAGGGCTACTTGAAGCCTTGCAGTCAGCCAAGGTCTTGTTTAAGGATCCCTTTATTGTTTTAAGCATTCTTTTTTTTATAGTTCATTATTTTATTGTTATCGTATATTTATGAGAAAGTTTTAAATTGTAATGGAAATTTCTAGCCACAAAAGTAAAGGGTTAACGCACTCCTGTGCACTCTTAGGAGTCTTGGAGGACATCCTTTCCTGGAGAATCTCTTGCTCAGAGCCACCTCCTATGTCTGTTTTAGTTTCTCTCTTTCAACTGGTTGGATTACTGGATACCTGGTAATTCACTGTTTGCTGACAGCTCAGTGAAAGCTCTCAGCAACTGAGTGCAGTCCATGGACCTCAGGTCTCATGGAAGATTATCTGGGTGGGCCATTTAAATTGACCTTTCTTCTTCAACTTGCCCATCCCCCCAGCGCAAGATCCTCAAATTTCCTGCCTAGATAAAGAAGGCCTAGAGAGAGGTTGCTGGCTTTGAGGTCCCAGTGAGACAAGCGGGCTGGGACTCTCAGTGCTCAGCACCCTGACTTCACTTTCTCAGGCGTCTTCATTATGGTGCCCCTATGTTTGCCAAGGTAGGGAAAGAATCGCCACACTGGGGAAGGCGCTGTGGCATAGCTGGTAGAGCCCACTGTCTGCAATGTTGGCATCCCATATAGTCGCTGGTTTGAGTCCTGGCTGCTCCCCTTCCAATCCAGCTCTCTGCTATGGCCTGGGAAAGCAGTAGAAGATGGTCCAAATCCTTGGGCCCCTGCCCCCACGTGGGAGACCTGGAAGAAGCTTCTGGCTCCTGGCTTTGGCTCAGCTCAGCTCTGGCCATTGTGGCCATTTGGAGGGTGAACCAGCAGATGCAACACCTCTCTCCCTCTCTCTGCCTCTCTGTAACTCTGCCTTTCAAATAAATAAATAAATCTTAAAAAAAAAAAGAATCATCATGCAACTGTGGGGTGCAGGTTTAGTGTTTTAAGGGTCTGAATTCTTAAAATAGATTTGAGAGGCAGGCATTTGGCACAGTCATTAAGATGCCAGTTGGGACATCAGCATTCCATATTAGAGTGTCAGGGTTTGAGGCCCAACTCTGCTTTCAATTCCAGCTTCCTGCTAATGTGTATCCTGGGAGACAGCAGGTGATGGGTCAACTGGATGGGTCCCTGACACCCACGTGGGAGACCCAGGTGGAGTTCCTGGTGCCTGGCACTGCCCTGGCTGTTGTGGGTATTTGAGAAGTAAACTAGCAGGATGGAAGATCTGCCTGTCTGTTTTTCTCAAATGAATATTTTTAAAAAGAAAAAAAAATATTTCAACCAGGGTTCCCAAACTCAGCAATGCTTGTAACCTCACTTCCACGGGTACAGGTGCTGCCTGCGTTCTGGAAGTTCTATGGTAGGATAGGTGAGTCCCTGGCTTTCCCATAGGTGGCTGGTTCTGTTACCACATGTAATACTCTGTTTTTCCAGCTTCCCAAAAGTTTTGTTGCCATCGTCTTCCCTGCTGTTCTTCTTATGCTTGTGAGCTTATACTTACAAACAAACAAACCAAGCCTCATTTCAGGGCAGGCATTTGGCTTAGCAGTGAAGCAGCCCATCGCCCACATCAGAGCATCTGGTTTAGACTCGGCTCTGGCCCCCGTTTCCAGCTTCCTGTTACTGCAGACCCTGAGGGGCAGAGGTGATTGCTTAAGTGACTGGGTCCCTGCCACCCACAAGTGAGAGACTTGGATTGAGTCCCCTCTTCCCAGTTTCAGCACTGGGCCTGGCGCAGGGCCAGCGTAGCCATTTGGAGAGTGAACCAGAATGTGAAAGACTCTATCTGTCTCTCAAATAAAAGTAATTAATTTTTTTACAAAGTGACCTTTGTTAAATCTGCTTTCTCATTTAGTGTTATTTTATTGGGGTTTTCAGAGGTCATCAAAGTAGACAGGAGGGTAACCCACAAGCTCCTCTGCGAAGGCGCCCTGTTATTTCTGGAAGGTCTATGATGATTTTTCTACCTCTGGTTAGGATTTACAACTTGCCATTCCTCAAAGGGCCTTCTGCTGTTTCAGGTTTAGGTAAAATGCATGTCAGTTACTTAGTAAGAATTTGAAAATTATAGTGATGTTGACAATCACAGAAACTCAAGCAAATTTCTATGGTATGATCAGTAGAATATCCAGTATACACACAAAGGATTCCAAAAGGACAAGAATGACTATACTCAGATGCCTTCAAAGACTCGAATTCACCACCAGACTGCTTTCTCTCATTATTTAAACATCTAAACATCAGGTCAGGGGTATCTTAACATTCAAAATTATTAGGGGCCGGCGCTGTGGCATAGCGGGTAAAGCCGCTGCCTGCTGTGCCAGCATCCCATATGGACGCCGGTTCAAGTCCTGGCTGCTCCGCTTCTGATCCAGCTCTCTGCTATGGCCTGGGAAAGCAGTAGAGGATGGCCCAAGTCCTTGGACCCCTGCAGCTATGTGGGAGACTTGGCTCCTGGCTCCTGGCTCCTGGTTTTGGATTAGCACAGCTCTGGTCGTTGTAGCAAATTGGGGAATGAACCAGCGGATGGAAGACACACTCGCTCTCTCTCTCTCTGCCTCTCATTCTCTCTCTGTGTAACTCTGACTTTCAAATCAATCTTTTTTTTTTTTTTTTTTTTTTTTGACAGGCAGA